TTTTCTTAAAAATTGAACTAGTTGTGATCTTCCAGGTACCTATATGAGAGCACAGGAGAGGATTAATAGAGACCAGATAAGCATGGCCCTCACTCATTCCATTTCCTGACTTGCCATTCGGCAAACACTGCCAGCTGGCAAGGTGGTGTGAGAGCTTTACAGTTCTGGATTACTCTTATTTTTAGTCTCAAATTGTTTGTTGTATACCCATAATGGACTTAAATATAGAGACAGTAAGTAGGGAGCACTAGAAGGGACTACAACAAGCCAATTAGGACCTTAAGTCCTCAAGATGAGCACCATATCTTAAATTGCATCCGATAATCAAACTACTTATGTAGTTTAGCAGGATGTCACTAGTACTTCAAAACTATTCTTTTAAAAGGAAAACAATCATATAATTTATCTACACAGTACATTACAATAAAGATTAGTCATGCTTTCAGTAGATTATTTTTGGAGACACGCTCACTGATATCAATGTGACACCTCAAACCATTTCATTTAAAAAGCACGAAAGTTATTTCTAAGGTTGATTTTTTTTCGTTCAAATACAAGACCAGTACGGGTTATAATGAACTGTAATACTGAAATCTTAGTCTACATATCCTGTGTTTTTAAAAAATGTATTTCTTTACACATCCAGCTTTTTTGTGCATAATTAGCATAAAGTCTGCAAAGTGTTGGGAAGAAAGCAGGATGTGTTTATTTTAGATAAATTAGAAATATCAGTGAAGCATCAGGCACGTGAGGAACAGGTAAATTGAGATTGTAGATAAAGAGTAGACTTACAGATTGGGAATAATTCATACACAGGTGTGATAATTGGAGACATGAGAAGGAATGAAATCACTGAGGGAAAGAATGTAATAACCTAAAAGACAGTGGATAAGACAGTGGAGAAATGCCTGCTTCTCAGGGTATAGGGCAGAGAGAAACAGCAATTTGAGTATAGAGGACGAGTTAACCACAGATGACACTTTGGGGGTCTGGTATTGCAGTGTGGATTGAGAAAAATCCACTAGATATATTTTAAAGTGAAGTTTACATTTTATGAGAGATTATTATGAGAATTCAGTCATCAAATTCTCAGATAGTAAATGGTTAAGGAGTTACTGGTGGAGGTTAAATTCATAGGTAGGTTTTAGAGATGTTTGACATGTAGTAGCAGATCTGTTAACATGGCAAACAATTAAGAAGTGGGACTGTCAAGTATTCATTTTTAGATGTAGGCACAAGGTTAAAAATACATACAGTAATGATGTAAAAGAAGAATGGAAGATGAGAAGTAATTGTAATTGATTATCTACATTTCTATATCCTCCATAGAACAGGTCTTATGTGCTCTCCCACTCAGCAACCCTTCTAATTGGTATAAACTTTGAGTGTGTTAAATGCATCCTTTTTCCTGATTTTTATCATGCTAAAATGTTATCAGCAAATGGATTTCACATGCAGAATAACCTAACAAACAATACATCTCTTCTGAAGACACATTTTATGTTTTACCACATAGGACATACTTGATTGCCTGCCTCCCTCATTCTTCATGACTAGTAGCAGTGGTCTTGGGGTCAACTGAACATTCATGCTCACAAGGCCTAGTAGACCATAGTGGACCCTGCTGTGCATCAGCCTCTCTGGTTTTTTGAAAATTATGGGAAGGAAAACCCAACATGTCAGTGTTAGGTATGTTGTTCCTAGATGATAGCTCAGGTTTAGTGGAAAATGACACAAGGATGGGAGTGAATGCCACCCTGGCTTAGCTCCTTAATGCTCTGCAGGAAGCAGTGTCGTCTTCTAACAGCATTTAAGTATAGCATCCAGGACTAAGCAAATGACAAGCCAATTACAAGCCATATTCGATTCAGAAAAGCCCCTGTTTATACTTACCATTGGGCATGTTCAGCCCTGCTCACTCTCCCCTCAATCCAGATGTTGCTCATCAGTAGGAGCCATTTTTACTACAGTGTTGCTTAGAAACACAGCTGACATCCCACCTTTGTTATGTTTCCAGGGAAACAGTGCAGGAAGGTTGAGGAGAGGTCATTTTTTATCTGAAGAGGAAGAAAGGTTTTGTTAACCCTTTAATTACACTAACTGACAAAATAAATAGAAAACATAATGCTGGCTGTAGGATCTGTGCAAGCGACTTTATTAGAGGCAGTGCTTGTTTTTGTTGACTATCATAACACCTGGGTATGAAGTTGCTTTTACATCTCACCAGATGGTGCATGGTAATTGTGCTTTGCTGATACTTTCAGCAAATTCAGTAAATTAAAAATCCTTGTTGATATTGTTTATTTGTCCTGGTTTCTTTAAGAACATCTTTGAGTGGAAGTACATATACAGACCAGGGAACAGAGATTATTGCTAAGTGGGGTTAGATAAAAAATAAGGCAATCTGTGAGTGGAGTTCTTATTCTAAACCACCAATATAAGAATATATTTTTAAAAACCCATATCCATGCACCTCACCACCCCAGAGCAATTTTTTATTAACCTATTCTTAAAAATGACTTCCATTTGATATTACTCAAGATGAATTGACTTTTATTTCGACTTCCATAGTGTAACAACTCACTGTAAGATTATGATTGTTTATCACAAAACAGTTAATTTGACTTTTCAGAAATGTTTTGTGGAAAACTGTAAATTGATCTTTTGTTATTCCTAGCCAGTAAGAGACCCAAACAAATATGCCCATTTTTCTGATGTCATTTTAAGCATATGTGCCCACTGCTCAGAATACTTTTACTTTTTTAATAAATTTAATTTGTATATGTAATTATTTTTAAATGTTTTAGTCATAAGTATATATAAAGTGCTGTACTAGACATTAGATATGCAAGAGTGAAAAAGAGAAATATACTTCCTAGTTTTATAGATTTAAATTCAGTATTGTTTGCTAAAATTAGATGTTGGAGGCTACTAAAACAAAAATAACTTTTCAAAAGTTCATTAGTTGAACATTTAACTGTAAATTTATACAAATGTAAGTATAAAATTCAAATTGTAAAATATGCTTTATTCATGTATTTGGAGCTATTTTATCTGGCTTTGTAATAATTTTTTAAATAAGAACTAATTTGGGTAGAACACAGTTAAGATAAGTAGTAGAGCCAGAAATACTAGTCACAAAACCAAATAAAGTTAACATGCCTGTAACATTTACGAATGCTCTCGTTATTAATCTTCATACTACTGACCAGCCTTATATGTAAGCATTTTAAAAACTCTTATTCTACTGAAAAGGCAATTCAGACTGGAAATAGGTAATAAATACAGTTATTCAGGGAGAATGTGATACAATAATAAAATTTGCTACCACTGGGTGGCAGTGTTGATTTCTGGAAAATCAGAGAAAAATGTTGGTTTATGTTTAAAAAGGTTCATTTGAATAAGAATTCAAATGTAAAAGTCCGTGTTTAGTGAAATAATAGTAAAAAATCAAATGTGTTAAATCGTCCACCTTGTTTTTATAATCAATCTATAACTTCGTTATAGCAGTTTGGTTAGTGGGAAAAAAGGAAATATATTTTTAAAAATTCAGCAAGTAAGCCTAAGTAGACGAATAGTACATAAGAAAATTTGTAACATATCTCAGTTCTTTTGCATTTTTAAGACAACATGTATAAACCTTTTGATAACAAAAACTTAATAGTTTTTCTTTACTTGCTTTATGTCAGTTACATATTTTTAAAAATTGTTCTCCAGAGAGCCATTTTACTTCATTTATCTCTGGTTCTTGGAGAATTTCTTTTTTAAAATTTTGTTTATTATTTTGTTTTTATTGTACTTCAACTTCTGTGGTACATGTGCACATCTTGCAGGATTGTTGCATGGGCATACACATGCCACAGTGGTTTGCTACCTCCATCCCCCATTCCTACATCAGGCATTTCTCCCAATGTTATCCCTCCCCAACCTCCCCACCCCACACTTTCCCTCACCTAGATCCCCACCCCCCAACAGACCCCTGTGTGTGATGTTCCTCTGCCTGTGCCCATGTGTTCTCATTGTTCAATACCTGCCTATGAGTGAGAACATACAATGTTTGGTTTTCTGTTCCTTTGTCGGTTTTCTGGTTCTTGGAGAATTTCTATGTATTTGTTTCACACTTCATTCTCAAGTATTTATTGCCTTATCAATACATTTTAGCAATCTGTTGATCTCATGATGTGGAACTTCCTATCTCATGACACCAGCAATCTGATATTTATTTTTAATTAGATATGAAAGACAAATCATTAATCGTTTTCTTAAAAATAATGCAGTATTAGAATTTAGTGGTTAATTTAAGTAGATTATTTAAGTTTAGTATTAAAACTTCCAGGTAGAGAGGGAGATACTTTTATTCTTTCTTACCCTAGTTCATTTTGTTTTGTTTTGTTTTGTCCAGCTCCTTACCCTAGTTTCTTTAGCTTTTGCTACAGTACATGAAAAAGATCGCCAAAGTGTGTTAGATCGGTCTTGCTAAGTTAGAATTTCTGAACTGCTTCTTCAGTACAGTTTGCCCTGGACATACGTAACTTAACAGTAGATATACCATGAGCTCTGGAATCGTGCTTGTTTGCCTCCCAACTCTTCTACCTCGAGAGCCAGATGATGGCCTATCTACTTATGCTCCTGAGCTTCTGTTTTCTCATTTAAGAAAAAAAAAATTGACAATATAGCATCAACTTTTTTTGGTCAAATCAGTGAGAAACATATAAATGAAGATAGCTGACAGTAAATGAGCACTTTTTTAAAATAAATGTGATTTGATGAATGTTAGTGTTTCATAAATATGGCAGTGGAGGGATATGGTAGAAAGGAAACTGTTGAGAACAGAAAGAACAAGGGAAGTTATAGCAACTACTTTTGTGGATGGGTTATACCTATTACCATATTTTAACAATTACATGTGGCCTAGTACCATAGTTTATTATATTATGGATTTTTTTTTTTACAAATAATAGATACATGTTGAATTACTGATATTCTCTCTCTCTCTCTAGGATACATACAGAAAACTACAATGGAAAAGTCCTGGATGCTGTGGAACTTTATTGAAAGATGGCTAATAGCCTTGGCTTCATGGTCTTGGGCTCTCTGCCGTATTTCCCTTTTACCTTTAATAGTGACTTTTCATCTGTATGGAGGCATTATCTTACTTTTGTTAATATTCATATCAATAGCAGGTATTCTATATAAATTCCAGGATGTATTGCTTTATTTTCCAGAACAGCCATCCTCTTCTCGTCTTTATGTTCCCATGCCCACTGGCATTCCACATGAAAACATTTTCATCAGAACCAAAGATGGAATACGTCTAAATCTTATTTTGATACGATACACTGGAGACAATTCACCCTATTCCCCAACTATAATTTATTTTCATGGGAATGCAGGCAACATAGGTCACAGGTTGCCAAATGCACTCCTTATGTTGGTTAACCTCAAAGTTAACCTTTTGCTGGTTGATTATCGAGGATATGGAAAAAGTGAAGGAGAAGCAAGTGAAGAAGGACTCTACTTAGATTCTGAAGCTGTGTTAGACTATGTGATGACTAGACCTGACCTTGATAAAACAAAAATTTTTCTTTTTGGCCGTTCCTTGGGTGGAGCAGTAGCTATTCATTTGGCTTCTGAAAATTCACATAGGATTTCAGCCATTATGGTGGAGAACACATTTTTAAGCATACCACATATGGCCAGCACTTTATTTTCATTCTTCCCAATGCGTTACCTTCCTTTATGGTGCTACAAAAATAAATTTTTGTCCTACAGAAAAATCTCTCAGTGCAGAATGCCTTCTCTTTTCATCTCTGGACTCTCAGATCAATTAATTCCACCAGTCATGATGAAACAACTTTATGAACTCTCCCCATCTCGGACTAAGAGATTAGCCATTTTTCCAGATGGGACTCACAATGATACATGGCAGTGCCAAGGCTATTTCACTGCACTTGAACAGTTCATCAAAGAAGTAGTAAAGAGCCATTCTCCTGAAGAAATGGCAAAAACTTCATCTAATGTAACAATTATATGATGTTTCCCTTTTTGATTATTGCATTGTATTTTAATTTGTGCAGAATGGTTAAGAATGTTCCTTTTAGAAGTGTTATATCTGTACCTGTCTGAAGAGTGACATTAAACTTTGAAAGGACTTCAGTGCTCCTTTATGATGATCCAAATAGTTTTTTACATTTGAAAAACTATAATTCTTGAGATTATTTCATACATTTTCATCAAAACTTTCAATGTGGTTATTGTATTTATATCTTTAGTTTAATGTGTCGATATAAGATATTGTTCAAAAGTTTCTTGTTGCTAAAGTGGTGTAATCTTACACAGATTAATAGCTAGATGTGGAAGGAGATATGTAAACAAGAAACCTTTGGGTATTATTTCTTAAGTAAATATTGGGACAATCATGATAAGCAAACTTAGTTCTGTAACTGCATTTTTCACCTTAAAAGTTAAATGAAATGCATGATGGTATTTTATTCCTTGAATTATGCAATGCAACATTTTAAATGTAAATAGCACTGGTCATATACCGATGTATATGGTTATCTGGGTTATATCTATTTTTATGTAAATTCTATTTTGTTTTTGGCAAGAAGTGAAATTGAGATCTATGTGCAGGTTGCCATTGAATTTTGCTCTGGTCAATGCTGAGATCCAGCTTTTTCTTACAAATAAATGGGACCCTGTTTTCCTATGTAAATGTACCGTGTTTTTGTTAGGTACAGTCTGGATCATGGCATGTAGAAATAGAAATTTAGAATTTTACTGCAGCTTTGATGTGCATATTTGAACTTTTTAACATTTGTAACTTTGGTGGCAAAGAGAATTTTAGCTTCTGTTGATTTTGTAAGTCTACAGCAGAACCACTAATAGCAGTCATAGTGAAGATCACTGCTTAAGAATTAAATTAGGAAGTCGTTTATCATTGCAGAATTGTACATACTACTTTACAAAAATCCACACATTTGACTTTAAGTCCCAGTACCTAGCTATACCTAACCCACCAAAGGCAAGATATCATTCTTGAAAATAAAAGTTACAAAATCCAACAATGTTCCAGTTGCTGTGAAATAGAACTCCTACATCAAAAGACAGTTTTAGGAAGTCTTATTTATTTGTTTTAAAAGTTTTTACATGTAGGAATGTGAGAATGAAGGAATTCTGGAGCTTTTTGACATAGAACCTGTTACCACATTTAGCAATTAAATGACTATAGGTGGGAAGTAGGATTTAGATATATAGAAAAGTAACAAAATCTTACTTAGAAAAAAAAGCCCCTTGAAACTTACAGGATTTACCTTAATAAAAATATATGCTATGAGTCATAATTGTGCCACGTTGTTTAAAGCAGTGCTCAAAAAATAGATTCAATTGAGTTCTGTGTAATATGTCAGCTTTAACATATAATATTTTGAATATTTTAGCTATATTTAATGGCTGTCTGCAAGCAACTAGAACAGAGAAATAATGGGTCAATACTCAATTTAAAATAATGGGTCTTGACCTCAATTTAAAATTCTTTCCATGGAGATAGGGCTAGAAATACTTTTGCCAAATAGCATTCTTATTCACTTTATGCCAGTATTTAGAAAAAATAAATTATAGCAAGTATGATTTTTAAGAATAATTTTTTCTATAAATTAATTGTAAAAAGTCTTGCTTTTTAAAACAAGTTGGTAATGCATATCATGGAAGGCGTATTTTGTATGTATAAATTCACAAAGCCTACTTTTCTTGTCAGTTCTTGCTATGTAGAATGACTATTCTAAATATTAATGTATTGAAAATACAACAAAATGTATATTTAGACACGAGCTTACATGGCATACCTTATATTTGTATCATTATTTAAAGTTTACAAAAAATACCTTATGTTTCTATGTGATCAGTCTATTACACTATGGAGAAATTTATCAACTTTAGTTCTAAATATGCTGATGAGGTCTAAAAGTTATTTTTTCATCCGTACTTTGCTTTTATGCTGCTTTTTGTTTTTGATATTCCAGGTTTATAAACTATCTTTTTAAATTTTAAGCCAGGACTTCAAAAATTGTAGAGTACTTGTTTGCTATCCCCTACCTTAATTCTCTTCTTAGGGTTAAGGAGCCTTTCTTTCTTTCTTTCTTTCTTTCTTTCTGCAGCTAAGGGCAGAGGCAGTGCCTAGGGCTGTACGACATCTGTCTTCACTAGCGTCTGTATGCGAGATTGTTTCCTTAGATGGGTAAGAGGTGGAAAACAAACTTAGTGTCAGGGGTCCATGAAGCCCATGGCATCATTTTTGAAAATAATTTCCAGTTTTGGGGCCAAAGCAATTGGTCTTAGTAAAATGAGACTTCTTCAGGAGTCACTCCTTCACCTTGGACCCATTGCTTAGTGGGAATGGAAGTATATGTATCCATCTTTTATGTTAATTTCTGACTCATTTATACAAGAGCAGCTATAGGAGTTTACAAATGAACTTTAAGTTACTGTAAATTTGGGGATCCTAGAGTGATCTTAAATATGGCAAGATACAGCTCATTTAGAATAAAGTCCCATATCCATTATGGGGAGAAAAACTGGTGAAAAATAAGTATAAAAAGGACCCTAAAAAGCATACTGCAAAATAAGAGAAGAAATAATTTGTGACAGGTAATAGGATACTAGTAGGGTAGTAACAACTAGAAAGGAAAGTGTGACACAGTTCTTAAATTTAGATATAGAAAATAATTAGATGAGATTGATGAAACAGAAATAGTGCAAAACATTTGAATGCAAAGCATTTCTAATAAGTGACTGGGACACTTGACATTGCAACTACCCTGTGTTTTTGCAGTTATATTTTTGACTGTAAAATTGATATTTTCATAAAAATGGTGTTCTGAATTTATGATTACCTGTAGACACTTGATAATTACATAGATTACAGCTTTGGTAATATGTCACTGGAGTAATTATGTTGTAATACCTGTTGAGAATTCATACCATCTGATGCTTACATATTCATTTCTTATGTTTGTAAGATTTGGCTTGGTGGGAATAGGTTTGGGGAAATTAAAGAATGAAGGCCATATATTTAGTGTTTTATAAATTATCTTTCAAGCTCAGATAGCTTAAGAGTAGTTTATATTAATTAAGGAGACCCTTTTTTCCTTGAGGATAGGGATAGGTAAGATAAACTTGTAAAGAATGTCACAGAAGTCACTTTTTAATTTACGTCATGATTGAGATACTGAAATCTTCCAGTGATCCTTCACCTCTCCCTTTTTCATATTATGTTTGATAATTATATATATTTTTAAAAGCTGTGAGAGGAAAAATTAGTCATAAGTAGCCCTTTTGGATTATCCACTTAAATTTATGTATTTTCATATTACTCAGGTAAAGATGGAAATGACAGAGCACAGACATTTATTTTTTAAACTGATAGGGTAGAAAATGAAATGTACTTCTGTTTATTCTTAATACCATATATATATATACATCGTTTTAGCAAATTGGAAATAATATATTCATTTGTATGGCAAGATAAATTCAGTCATCTTACTACTAGTCTACACATTTTTGCCAAATGGCGCAAATATACCTCCATTTATATTTTGTATCTTAAAATGTAGTTTAAAAATAGGACTATGTATGAGACACTTTTTTACAAAAAGTGCCATATATACATATGTAACAGGTGAGTGTGTGTTTAACATAATTTATAACAATTTCTGTCAGTACAGCGTATATGGAAAAGTCAAGTTGTTTTTAACATATTCAAGTATGTTCAGTATAAAATAAGTTAATCCCATTTCATAATGTAAATCATATTTTTGTTATTTGCCATATTTTATTTGAAGTAGTGATAAAATTTTATAACTCAAATTTGAATGTCATAGTACATTGTGTGCTAACCATGGCAAGCAAACATTTACATTTGTTTTTTACAATAAATTTCTTTTAAAGTATACTTTCTATTTTTCTGTACTGACATATGCAATAAATTGGTACATTAAAAATTTGATTAATGTCTTAAGATAGTTCGCATTCAGTCTTTTTTTAAATATTGTTAATCTAAAATTTTATAGTAGGACATTAAAGTTGTCTCAGTGGTTATGTAAAATTCCTGAATTTGCACTGAAATTAATGAATTTTATTCTAGTAATGGTGTTAATAAAAAATTGAAGTTAGATTTATATTTCCTTCCCTGAAGAGTATTATCCTCTTATATACATTTAATTTAGGCTAATATTAAAACTACACGAACCACTAGTGAATGACTAGTCCCTAATGCATTTCTTTAGTTAATTGAATCTAGGAATGAATACATTTTAACTTCATAATTATGTTGCTTTCAGATTTCATAAAGTGCTTTTTTAAAATGTCCTGCTTTTTTTCCGACTCTTGTTAGTATTTCAGTTAATGGTTTTTAATGATCAAAAAATGACCTGATACTAACTCATCCTTGCTTTTCCTAATAAGAAATGTGCATGCTTGAATATGTCAGAATAAGTTGGATAATAGGAAGTGTATGCTGAATCTTAAATGGTCCCCTCTAAGGGAAGATGAAGAATTCACTTATTAGAGCCCATCTTTGCATGGGTAGCTATGTGGGGAACTAGGGTCTCTCATGTGCTACTTGTACATCAGAAAGATCGCCAACTTGAATCCCATGGTGAAGTCATTTTTAGATTGTTATTTCTTAATTTTGAAAGATAAGTGTTTTCACATTCCCATTTCACTCTCCAAATCTTTCCTTACATTCTGTTACATACTAAAAAAGCATGAACGATTAGATTTGGCTAGAAACTGTAACTCCTATCTTAGTAAGGGGAAAAGACATTTTTGGAGTATCTTCAAATATAAGGCCTAGGTGTTTAATGTGTTGATGTTATTGAATCCTCACAACAAACCTTAGAGCAATTTGTAGTCCCATTTTATAAAAAACAGTCTCAGAGTGGTTCAGTAACATGCCCAAGGTTACCTAGAGTGAACCAAGATGTCAATCCAGGTCTCTCATTCTAAATCGAGGACAGCTATTCATTTGCTAATTTACTCAAACAATTTGAAAATTTTGTTCATGTTGGAATAGATTTGAAATGTTGAAATGGTTTACAAGTTGATCAGCTATTCAGAAATCCAAAATTGGCTATGAATTGAAAGAAGTATACAGTAAACTACATGTTTTCAAAGTCATTAAATGTATGTTTCTGTAGGAAAATCCAAATGTTAATTTCATAAGAGTTACCCTCTCAAAAAATCTTGGAGTCATCTTTTTATTCCTGATACTTTTGAAACACTTCTTGCTGTTTTTTCCATTAAGATTTATTTTTCCAACATTTCCACTACTACCATACCAGTTCCTGAAATTATTTCATAGTAGTCAACATTTTTTTATTGGGTATGTTTTGTGTTTAAAATATTGTTCTGACTCCCTTTTGTCATTTATTCTTAATAACTGAATATGAACTAGATCACTGCCCTATTCTTTCTAACAGAAAAACTCTGTATCATTCTCTATCCAGTTCAGTGGCTGCCTTTCTCAGTAGATCAAAGTCAGAGTTCCCATTCTATAGGGTCTTTTACAAACTAAACCTTGTAAAAGATATCTGTTCTTTCTCTTTCTTGATTCAAACTTACTCCTCTTCTGTGCATTTATTCATATCTGGTGCTTTAGCTTCTAGATCCAGTGCCTCCCTCCCACCTCTCTAGGCCCCTTGAGTCTGTGACCAAATTCATGGTGGCTCTTTACCAATAGTTTTTTTTTTTTTTTTTTTTTTTCCTTCTCTTTTTCTGAACACCCATTGCACTCAAAGCATTTTGTGTTTTGATACTTGGTTATATTCAGTTCAGTTCTTTATCATATATTGTCTTTTGATCTGACAGGAACGTCATGTGGTTTCTGTCTTACATAGCACCTAGCACAGTGCTGAGCACCTTGTACTATATACATTTCCTGTGTAGAATGTGCACACTGATTATAAAGTTAGTTCAAACTTTTCCATCTTTAAGAAGAAAAAGAAGCACAAAGGCCATTATACTTCTTAAGGTTCAGACCTAAAGCAGCAACCAATCTGGAAGTTATACACACATCTCAAACCAACAATTAAAGTAGAAATGTTGGAAGTTACCCATGTAATTTAATCAGTTCACGGAAAATAAGAGGGCCAATAACTGTGCAGGTCATGCGTTCCTTGAGGGCTCCATCTTAAGCTGAGCAGAAGAGACTGCTAACAAGCTCAGGAAGGAGAGGAGCAAAGTGTACAGATAGTGGATGTGGAACAGAGATCATTGGAGATCAACAAGTATGACAGTGATGAGTAGAACTTGGGTAAGAGAGGAAGAACCAGAAAGTCAGGTGGGCACATGAGCGGAAGGCCAAAGAAGCCCTTACCATGGGACATCCAGTTTGGGTGATAGTGACTGTCCCAGTTTTTATTTCTTTCTGTCCTTTTTTAACCGTATACCCATGGTTCCCTTATTGTAAATTTATCATCATCATTACTTTTAAAACAATGATGCAAATGGAGACTATTGAAAGTTTGAGAGCTTTCCACTCCTGCAGGAAGTGACTTTGGAGTGCAAACGTACTTAAATATTAATATATTTGCCATCAAATATAACATAGGGGCACCTCGATCATCAGCATTTTGGAGAAAGTTGAAGCCTCTCTCTAGTCCCTCCAGTAACATTACATGGTTCCTTTGAGTATCACTGGACTCTTGCACTAAAGGTGCTGTGGTTGTTAGGTCGGGACGAGGAAGACAAACAATATTAGATTAGAATTACCTTGTAAGATGTCAACAAATATACTTTATGCATCAGAGGAACCCTGAAATTAAAGAGCCTGAAATCTAATCTTCATTGTTTCACATATAAAATGAGAAATTTAAATGAAGTATGTGGTGAAGGAGCCTTATAAGTGTTTTCCCTCATCTTTGACAATTGCCAAAATAGTGATGCAGTTAACAATTTAAAGTCAAGCTGTATATAATGCTTCATTTTTTTGCCTACAAATGTGGTTTATATTTCTATCTAATGTCACAGTTGTCTTATAAAAGTCTCATTTTATTTAATGAACTTGTAAATGTGATTGAACTCCTATTGAAAGTGATTCTATTACAGTTTAATAAGTTGTATGACCTTGGAATGATATTTTACCTTTCAGGGCTTTGTGAAAACTGGAGGTTTGACCCAGTTGGTTCCAGTGGCTTCATCTAGCAAGGCCTTTCTATGATTCTGAGTGTATAGAAATCAAAAGCTATTTTAGATTCCCATAAGATTGATCAAAAGTTTAGGATGCCCTCTTTATGAATTCACTTTGAATAAGAATGTTCATTGTGGTACATTATGGATAAATGGAAATTCAACTTTTGTTTACCCTGTTCTTTATCCAGTCATAAGGAGAAAAAGACAATTTGTCAGCAATGTTTAAATGTATGTGTCTTGGATCAATTTAAATGCTATAGATACTCTGGTTTTACAGTCATATTCTAGAGCAAAGTAAACACTTGGAAGATTGCTATGGCACAGGATAATTTCCTTTTTGTAGAAACAGTTTTTACATCAAACTGTTTTGATTGTTTACATCAAACTTTTATATCAAACTGTCTCTGTTTGTCTCATCAGAGAAATATTAAAAGAGATAGAAATTATTTTAAATAATGAACTAACTGGAAATTCCGATGTTGAAATGCACAATCACTGGAATGAAAAATTCACTAGACAGGCTTAACAACAGGCTCAAAGTGGCAGAAGTCATCAGCAAACTTGAATATAGACTTCATAATGTCTATGTATAACTTGATCAAGACTAGGCAATCTGAAACACGGAGAGGAAAAAGAATGAAGAAAAATGTAAGGCCTCAGAGAATTGCACCAACATATGCATAATTGTAGTGCTAGAAAGTGAGGAGAAAAAAGAGCAGAAAAACTATCCAAAGAAATAATGACCAAAAATTCTTCAAATTTGAAAAAAATCATCAGCCTATACACCCAAGATCAAGAAACTCCAAGTAGGATGAGCACAAAATGATCCGTACCTAGAAACAGGATAGGAAAAGTGCCGAAAAACAAGACGGAAAATATTGACTGCAGGGAGAGTAGAGCAGTCAATTATGTATATTATGTATACATATTATATTCCTCATTATGTATAAGGAAATCCGCAGTAAGATTAACAGCTGACTAATCTTCAGAAATTATCAGTGGAAGACAGAAAGTAATGGTATTAGATATTCAAAGTGCCGGAAGAGTCCTGTCAAACAAGATTTTACAGTCAACAAACCTTTCAAAAATGAAGATGAAATAAAATATTCCTAGAAACAAAAACATAATTTTTGTGGACAGACCTATGTTGCAAGAACTACTAAAGGAAGTCATTCACACTGAAAGCAAGAAATCATACATGGTAATTTGAATCCACACACGTAAAACGAAAAACACTGGTAAAGATAATTATGTAATTAGAAAAGACAGTATATGTGCATATTGCTGCTGCTTTTCTTAAATCATGTAAAGAACTTGCATAAAATATATATGCATAATTATATTATTCATTCTGTAGCAAAAAATATGTAATTTGTTTGACAATAAAAACAGGAAGTGGGTAGGAGCAAAGCTGCTGTGGAATAGTGAAATGATGCCAGATAGTAACTTGAATCCACAGGGGAGAAAAGTAAACCTAAAATGGTAAGAAAGAAGATTAAAATAACAAACTCTATTCTTGCTTTGCTTTTATCCCTGAGTCTCCTTAGTAACTGTATAATTGTATAAAGTAAAATTATATTAATTTATTTTGTTTTTGATTTTATAACATGCATAGATGTTTATGTATGTAACAATAATGTCACCAAAACAGGAAAGAGGGAAGTGAGCTATGTAGAAGTTACATTTCTGTATCTCACTGAATTTAAGTTAGTATAAATTTGAAGTAGATTCTGGTAAGCTATGTTAAGTATGGTGAGCCTT